TCCCACTAACCTAATCTTAAATCGCAAATGCCTCCTCCTCTCATCATCTGAATACCGAATGATCGCAGCAGCAGTCGAGCGCATCGCTCTCGAACCACCGTGCCCACAGCTCCTCGCACCGAGACCTCGCATCCTCGCTTATCTCTATAATCGCTCCGCCGTATAGTCCCTTAAACCACCAATACAAAGGCTCAACTCACAAGACAAGCTATGGCGCGAATCACTAGCAGAAAACCTAACAGAACAGCCCATATCACCTTTGTATGTCTCCTCAGATCGACAACTAAGAAAGATTCTCCACCATCACAAGACCTCAAGTCCCGTACACAAAACAACCAAGCTGAATGCGCGTTGTCATCAAACCTCCAAATATCCGCGAAGTGATGGCAAAGGCCCCTGAATCCTCCCCGACTGGAAACAACCGAAACAACAGTACTCTTGCAAACGTCAACATCCGCCTCTCCTTACCGCGCGTTCCATTGAGTGGTATTTCAGGAAACAACTCTCGCCTTAGCACGTGTCAATGGATCCGCAGTCTCGGCACCAGCGATATGGTGTCATTAGATTCTGATGCTCGAAGAACCGCTCATGGCAGCGCGAGCTAGTAGTGGCACAACTGTGAACCACATTCAGGCATACTAAGAGTCGGCGTTTTCTTTCCAGAATCCGCTCTACTACTCCGCTCTTTGACTCCACAAGCAGGGTGCTGCGTGACGACTACTCGAACTACACGAGCGTTGAGAGGTGTGAACTCATTACCCTCGAACAGAAGAAAGCTCTCTCTCCATCAACCCCCCTCTCGCGGCCTAGCCATATGTTTGCCCGTGGCCAGGAGCTCCCCAGGCGATCCAGGAAAAGCAGTGGGCATGCTCTTCCCGAGCTTTCGCTCTGCCCCGCAGTCCCTGTGTGTGACGTGCGTTTAACGGCCGCCCCCGCTGCTATCCGCGACCCTTGGATCTCTCTTCTCCTACTATCCAACATATTAATTCTTCAGTCGACATCACTCCGCTAATAAAACATGTAGACCAAGTCTTCTCATGTCATTTCTATGTAAAATAGCAGAATAAATTTGCCGGAATATCTATAACATATAGTTCATCATTAGTGGACAGTGTATGAGTTCTGGGTTCATGAATTGCTTTCAACTGAAACAAAAAAAGGGGAAACAGGAGAGAACAGAGAACATTCAACATCGCAGAGCCAAATGCCTAGACTGAAGCTATTGTGGCCGTTGTGCTTAGATTAAGTGAGTAATAGTCATTTTTCCCTCTTCTGTTACCAATGAAACAATACAGAGTTCGTTTCATCATGAAAATGGGAGGGAGAGGGTTCAAAGTGAAGAAAGAGATTTATGTATAAATTTAAATTTAGACCAACCAGATTGAGATAACTTCTGATGGGGAGTGTTCAGGTAAAGATGTTGCTGTTTGTTAAAATACTGTACTACATCAAACATTAAAAGCCTTCCTAAACAGGGCCACCTTCCGATGTCTTCTTAAAGTCTGGTAGTTGTTGTCCTCTTTTACATCTGGTGGGAGGGCATTCCACAGGGAGGGCGCCACTACCGAGAAGGCCCTCTGCCTGGTTCCCTGTAACTTGGCTTCTCGCAGTGGGGGAACCACCAGAAGGCTCTCGATGCTGGACCACACTGTCCGGGTAGAACGATGGGGGTGGAGACACTCCTTCAGATATACTGGGCCGAGGCCGTTTAGGGCTTTCAAGGTCAGCACCAACACTTTGAATTGTGCTCAGAAATGTACTGGGAGCCAATGGAGGTCTTTCAAGACCGGTGTTATATGGTCTCGGCGGCCGCTCCCAGGCCCCAGTCTAGCTGCCGCATTCTGGATTAGTTGTAGTTTCCGCGTCACCTTCAGAGATAGCCCCACGTAGAGCGCATTGCAGTAGTCCAAGCGGGAGATAACCAGAGCATGCACCACTCTGGCGAGACAATTCGCGGGCAGGGAGCGTCTCAGCCTGCGTACCAGATGGAGCTGGTAAACAGCTGCCCTGGACACAGATTTGACCTGTGCCTCCATGGACAGCTGTGAGTCCAAAATGACTCCCAGGCTGCGCACCTGGTCATTCAGGGGCAAAGTTACCCCATTCAGGACCAGGGAATCCTCCACACCTGCCCACCTCCTGTCCCCCCAAAACAGTACTTCTGTCTTGTCAGGGTTCAATCTCAATATGTTAGCCGCCATCCATCCTCCAACCGCCTCCAGACACTCACACAGGACCTTCACCACCTTCACTGGTGATTCACTGATTTAAAAGAGAGGTTATGGTTGATGGTATCAAATGCCGCTGAGAGATCCAGCAGAACTAAGAAGCAGCTCTCACCTTTGTCCCTAGCCCGCCGGAGATCATCAACCAGTGCGACCAAGGCAGTTTCAGTCCCATGATGAGGCCTGAATCCCGACTGGAAGGGATCCAAATGGTCTGCTTCTTCCAGGTGTCCCTGGAGTTGTTCAGCAACCGCTCGCTCAATCACCTTGCCCAAGAATGGAAGATTTGAGACTGGGCGATAGTTGGCCATCGTGGCCGCATCTAAAGATGGTTTTTTAAGAAGCGGTTTAATAATCGCCTCTTTCAGCGGGTCTGGGAAGGCTCCCTCACGGAGGGAAGCATTCACCACCCCACGAAGCCCATCGCTCAGCCCTTCCCAGCTCGCTTTTATAAGCCAGGATGGGCAAGGATCCAGGAGACAGGTGGTTGGTTTCACTCGTCCAAGCAGCCTGTCCACATCCTCGGAGGTAACAGATTGGAACTGATCCCACACAATTTGACTAGACAGGACTCTAGCACTCTCCCGCTCCGGCTCTGCTCCCATGGTGGTGCCTACCTCTTCCCGAATCTGAGCGACTTTATCTGCAAAAAACTTTGCAAAATCATTGCAGGAGATCATGTGGCCCTTGCTGGGCCCCGATGTAACAGGTGGTTCTGCTAAATTGTGAACCACCTGAAAAAGTCTCCTGCTGCTGTTTTCTGCAGATGCAATAGAGGCGGTGAAGAAAGTCTCCTTCACCGTCGCTACCGCCACTTGGTAGGCTCGACATTGAGCTCTAACCCGTGTCCGGTCAGCTTCAGAATGAGTTATCCGCCACCGGCGCTTTAGCCGTCTCAATGATTGTTTCATTGCCCTCAGATCTGTGGAAAACCACGGGGCTGTCCAGGCTCCATGCAGTCAGAGAGGGCGCTTCAGAGCCAAACAGTCAATAGCCCTGGTTAACTCCACATTCCAGTGGGCCACCAGGAAATTAGCTGAAAGGCCATCAACATGGGATAAAACATCCCCTACCATTCTCTGGAAACCATTTGGATCCATTAAGTGGCGGGGGCGGACCATCCGAATTCGTCCCACCTCCCTGCAGAGGGGATGGGTCGCGGAGAAGTCCAGTTGCACCAGGAAGTGATCTGACCATGGCACTTCTTTTGTTTTGCTTTTACTTGGTGTCAGATCACCAACATCCGTAGAGGTAAACACCAGGTCCAAGGCATGTCCATGGCTATGGGTTGGGCCAGACTTATTCAGGGACAGCCCCATGGAGGCCATGCTTTCCACGAAGTCCCGAGTGGCCCCTTGTAAGGTTGTGTCGGCATGGATATTAAAATCCCCTAGGACAACCAAGCTAGGTGTCTCCAGGAGAACATCCGCCATGACCTGAAGCAGCTCAGGCAGGGAATCCTTGGTGCAGCGGGGAGGTCGGTACACCAAAAGGAATCCTGTACTGCCCCTATTGCCCAACTTCCAAAACATGCACTCAGAAAACTGGGTCTTCCCAATAGGACGCCTGGTGCAAACTAATGACTTCCTAAAACTCACTGTAACCCCCCCTCCCTGCCCACATGACCTGGGTTGCTGTGCGTAAGAGAAACCTGGTGGACAAGCAGCAGCAAGGACAGGCCCATCTGCTTCATCCAACCAAGTCTCTGTTACACATGCCAGGTCAAGTCCTCCATCCATCATCAAGTCATGGATTGCAGTGGTTTTATGAATCATTGACCTGTCATTGCACAGCAGCACCTTCAGGTCATGTGGGTATCCCTTGCTGATTCTAGTATCCATCCGGTCAGGACCAGACCCGGAGGCAGGAATAGTCCTCAGACAACGACTAAACCTGCCCCCTCTGTAACAACATGGTCTGGTCTTAGCGTAACTCCTCCTCCTACCCGTGATCACTGAGATCGGTTGTCCCAGTGCATCCCCCCCTGTGGAACATGCCCCAGCCATTTTGTTGGCTGGGACCCACTCCCCGGCAGCCCTGACCCCTCCCATTAGGAACAAAATAAAACCTTTAAAAAAATAAAACAATAAAACAATACAAAAAAACCTGTAGAAATTACAAAAACACCTAAATCAAACAAATTCCCAGGCCCAACCAAACATCCACCCCACCCCACCCCCACCCCACCCCCCACATATAAAAAATTCAGAAGAAATTTTTAAAAACATTTTAAAAAGAACTCTGCGCCCCCCCTGAGTCCTCCTGGACAGCAGCAGCAGTAACAGCAACCGTAGTTGTGAGGCCTGTCAGGCCCCGCCTTGGGCCAGATGGTGAGTGGCAAGAGCAGGGCCCTCAGGCACTCACCCAGGGGAGTCCTCCTGGGCAGCAGAGCAGTCCTTTTGAGGCTTGAGGCCCCGCCCCGGGCCAGGTGGTGAGTGGCAAGAGCATGGCCCTCAGGCACTCACCCAGGGGAGGTCAAGGAGGAGAATCGTGGGATCATGGACTCTCTCAGTAAGGATCCCTGTTGGATCATAACATGTTGTGATTGGAGATGGAGTGGATTCCATGATTGAGCCACAAAAATATCCATCCCAGATAAAAGCCAAGCAATATCTCAGTTAATACCAGGAAACAAAAACAGTGAAAACTATTGGATGGCCTCACATTTCATTCTCTTCAGTTCTTCCTCTGTCACAAGCATTCATTAACATTGTTCAATAATCTGGAGCTCCCATTTCCTCCTGAGACTCTAATTAGCTTCTTTCTTCATTGCAGATGGTGATGAATCAAAAGGGAAGAACAAGGGAGACCACAACAGAATCCACATAGCAGAGAAGTCAGATAAATATTCAGAGTGTGTAGAGAAGATCCGTCAGAGCTCCCAGTTCACCTCCCATCAAAGAAAGAGCTTCATTCGAAGGAATAGCCTCACTTCACACAAAAGAACACAGAGTAGGGAGAAATCGTATCAGTGCTTGGACTGTGGAAAGAGCTTCAGCCAGAGGGCCCATCTCACTTCTCATCAAATAATTCATACAGGGGAGAAGCCCTATCAGTGCTTGGAATGTGGAAAGAGCTTCAATCGGAAGGATAGTCTCACTTCCCATCAAAGAATTCATACAGGGGAGAAACCCTTTCAGTGCTTTGAATGTGGAAAGAGCTTCAGTCAGCGCACCCATCTCACTTCCCATCAAAGAATTCATACAGGGGAGAAACCCTTTCAGTGCTTCGAATGTGGAAAGAGCTTCAGTCACTCGGGGAATCTCACTTCCCATCAAAGAGTTCATACAGGGGAGAAACCGTATCAGTGCTTGGAATGTGGGAAGAACTTTAGTCACCGCCAGAATCTCGCTTCTCATCAAAGAATTCATACAGGGGAGAAACTGTATCAGTGTTTGGAATGTGGAAAGAGCTTCAATCAGAAGGGTCACCTCACTTCCCATCACAAAATTCATACAGGAGAAAAACCCTATCAGTGCTTGGAATGTGGAAAGAACTTCAGTAATAAGGTGAATCTCACTTCTCATCAAAAAATTCATACAGGGGAGAAACCCTATCAGTGCTCGGAATGTGGGAAGAGCTTCAGTCAGGAGGGGAATCTCACTTCTCATCAAAAAATTCATACAGGGGAGAAACCCTATCAGTGCTCAGAATGTGGGAAGAGCTTCAGTCAGGAGGGGAATCTCACTTCTCATCAGAGAATTCATACAGGGGAAAAACCCTATCAGTGCTTTGAATGTGGAAAGGGTTTCAGTCGGAAGGATAGTCTCACTTCCCATCAAAGAATTCATACAGGGGAGAAACCCTATCAGTGCTTCGAATGTGGAAAAGGTTTTCGTCTGAGTGGTCATCTGACTTCCCATCAAAGACTTCATACAGGAGAGAAACCGTATCACTGCTTGGAATGTGGAAAGAGCTTTCGTCTGAGTGGTGATCTGACTTCCCATCAAAGAATTCATACAGGGGAGAAACCCTATATGTGCTTCGATTGTGGGAAAAGCTTCCACAATCTCACTTCCCATCAAAGAATTCATACAGGTGAGAAACCCTATCAGTGCATGGAATGCGGAAAGAGCTTCAGTCAAAGTGCCACACTCTCTTCCCATCACAGAATTCATACAGGGGAGAAACCCTATCAGTGCTCAGAATGTGGGAAGAGCTTCAGTCAGGGGGGGAATCTCACTTCTCATCAGAGAATTCATACAGGGAAGAAACCCTATCAGTGCTTGGAATGTGGGAAAAGCTTTCGTCAGAGTGGTCATCTCAATTCCCATCAAAGAATCCATACAAGAGAGAAAACGCCTTAGTGTTTGGAATGTGGGAAACGATTCATTCCTTGCCCACCAAATAATTTATACGGGTTTGAAAAAGGGGTCCCTCTCAAAGGGGGCTGCAGACAACCGACAGATTACAACTGGGGAATATTTCACACAGGAAACCACACCTGCTTGCATGGACTTTTGTCATATATGGATTTATAAAAGTGAAGGTGAATCTTTGATATTTGCAAGCTTCCCTTAGGGCTCAGGGGGAGCAAGCTTGGATTCTAGAGGAACCAAACAATTATTAACTGTGAAATCTGTCGCACAGTGTGGTCTCTTCCAGAAGTGTTGGAGCCAGCCGTCACAAGTGGCATTTGTTTAGGGTAAAAAAAAGACACAGAAAGCCAGCAATATTTCCATAATAAGAGAGAGCAGCTCATTCAGACTTCTTCTCCTCTCCGGTCACTTTTTATTGTCCTTTGTTCTGTCCAGGCGCATGGCCGTTTGCCAATCTCACGTTACCTCATCCAGTCGAGCTTTTATTGCCCCTTTACCATATAAGGTAATCATTGCCCAGAGGAATGTCAGGGGGCACCCTGCAGTATTTACAAGACTCTGCCTTGGCTTTATGACTCCCACACAGAAGATTCTTCGGTTTGGGAAAAGATCAGTCAGTTAAAATACATTACATGTGTCTTAATTTTAACTAAACAAAGGAAAGTAGGAAGACAGCCCAGAGTCTTGGAAGGTAAGATGGTGGAATGAAATAGGGCCTTCTGAGGAGGGACTGCACCGAAAAAAATTGATGGACAACAACAAGAAGAGTCAGAGTTTTTTAGGAGGTTAGAGGGAAAGTTATCCGATTATGCTGACCAGAAAATTATACTATTGGGAGATATGAACGGCGTGGTGTCGTTAGAGCTGGATAGGCTAAGGGACACGAAAGGCACAGAAGGAAAACTACCCAGAACCTTCTTCTCTTTGGTACAAAATTGTAATTTAGTGGATATTTGGAGATTTAAATACCCCCTGGAAAAACAACATACTTTCCACTCAGAACCCAATGACTCTTTCTCAAGATTAGACCAGATATGGATTTCGGCAGAATTAATCCCAAGAGCTGCAAGGGTGGGGATCCAGGCTAAAACAATTTCCGACCATAACCCAATAAAAATGGAACTGAAAGGGCTAGAAAGAAGGACAAATAGATGGAAAATGGGAGACTATTTATTGGACGACCAAGAGATAGTAGAGAAAGCCCAAAACAGGTTAAAGGAATATTTTGAAGACAATCTAGGTAAAGGTACAAAACCAAAAGTGGTGTGGGATGCAGGCAAGGCGGTGATGCGGGGCTTCTTTATCCAACACAATGCAATTAAGAACAATAAGAGAGAAAGAGGGGAAAAAAGAAATTTTACAACAAATATTAGAGAATGAACAGAAATTAACTAAAAATCCCCAAAATAAGAAAATAAAAGAGAACATTAAAGTCTTACAATCCCAGTACGCGATGTTGATAAATAGAGAGATAGAATGGAAAGTTAAAAAATTAAGACAAAGGAACTTCGAGTACGCTAATAAATCAGGGAAGTTATTAGCCTGGCAATTAAAAAAAAGGAAGGAGCAGAATACAATAAATAAAATTGAGGTGGAAGGAGAAGAGATAAGCAAGCCCAAAGAAATAAGGAAGGTCCTTTTTGGATTTTTACAGAGGACTCTTTAAAAACACAGAAAGGAATAACATGAGAAAAATAGAGAGATATTTAAAAGCTAAGAACATCAACAAGATCTCCTCAGCAGAAAAAGAGAAGCTAAACGCTCTAATTGAGATAGAAGAAATCAAAGCAACAATTAAAAATTTAAAAAATGGGAAAGCTCCAGGCCCAGATGGGTTTACTGGTAGATACTATAAGGAGATGGAACCAGCTCTACTGACCCCATTGCAAGAAGTAATGAATAACATCCTCAAAGAAAGAGAACTACCAGAGACGTGGAAGGAAGCATTGATCACATTAATTCCCAAACAAGACTCAGATTTACGGCAAATTAAAAACTATAGACCGATTTCCCTGCTAAATATAGACTACAAGATCTTTGCGGGAATCCTAGCAAAGAGATTAAAGGACATTCTGATAGAAAGTATACACAAAGACCAAGCCGGCTTTTTGCCGGGCAGGCAAATGAAAGACAACACAAGAAACATAATAAACATCATAGAATACTTAACAGATAGGTGCGATAAACAAGGTGTGTTGTTATTTGTGGACGCCGAAAAAGCGTTCGATAATGTAATCTGGGATTTCCTGCTGAAACAATTGGAATATATGGAGGTGGGCACCGAATTTTATAATGGGATAAGAGCCATCTACACAGAACAGAAGGCAAGACTCATAATAAACAATGTAGAGACTGAAGAAATAACAGTAACTAAAGGAACAAGACAGGGATGCCCACTGTCCCCTTTATTGTTTGTAATGGTGTTAGAGGTCTTACTTAATTCTATAAGAGACAACAAAAAAATAAAAGGAGTAAGGGTAGGTCAGAACGAATATAAAATCAAAGCTTTCGCGGACGACCTGGTGGTAACATTGGAGGATCCATTAGACTCAATAAAAGAGGTGCTCGAAGAATTCAACCAATTTGGTAAAATAGCGGGTTTTAAACTTAACAAAAGGAAAACAAAAATGATAGTTAAGAACATGTACAAGGACAAAGTTGAAGAATTACAAAGAGAAACGGAACTAGAGGTGACTAAGAAGGTGAAATACCTAGGAGTATGGGTAACGCCAAAAAATATAGACTTATTTAAAAACAACTATGAAACAGTATGGAAAGGAATTAAAAAAGACATAGAAACGTGGGGCAGGCTCAGATTGTCATTTTGGGGTAGAATAGCCACAATCAAAATGTCCGTACTTCCAAGAATATTATTTCTTTTCCAAAATATCCCCGTGATTAAAGGTACTAGGATATTCAAAGTCTGGCATAGGGAGATTTCAAAATTTATCTGGCAGGGGAAGAAACCCAGAATAAAATTTAAATTGTTGACAGATGTGAAGGAAAGGGGAGGCTTCGCCCTGCCAGATTTGAAACTATACTATGAGGCATCTTGCCTATGCTGGGTAAAGACATGGATTAATCTGGAGGATAGAGAAGTGCTGGACCTAGAAGGTCATGATAACCGATTCGGGTGGCACGCCTACCTGTGGCACGGGCGGAAGAGATCGCACAAGGAATTCGGAAACCACATATTCAGGGGCCCACTGATTGAGGTATGGGAAAGGTACAAAGACGTGCTAGAACCTAAAACACCCCACTGGCTGTCACCATTAGAAGTTATGTCCGTTAAAAAGACCAATATGAGGGCTAACTGGGCCACATACGAACAACTGTTAATGAAAGAGGAAGGAAAGTGGAAAATGAGGCCGTATGAGCAGGTCAAAGACCAAGTTTATGATTGGCTCCATTACTTCCAGACAAATGATATGTTTAGGAAAGATTTCAAAGATAAAGGATATGTTGACAAAAACACTAGATTCCAAACTGAGATCCTGGAAAATAATACAAAAACTCTGTCTAAAATGTACAATCAGTTACTGGACTGGAACCTAATTGACGAGGAAGTTAAGTCGGTAATGACACACTGGGCCAAAGACTTTGGCCGTAACATCTATTTTGAAGAGTGGGAAAAACTATGGAAACAACATCTTAGGTTTACGGCTTGTGTGTCACTTAAGGAAAATTTAATGAAAATGTTTTACCGCTGGTATATGACTCCCATCAAACTAGCCAGAATGTACGGATCCTGTAACAAATGCTGGAAGTGCAAGGAAAGGGAGGGGACATTCTACCATATGTGGTGGGAATGCCAAAAGGTTAAAGGGTTTTGGGAGAGTGTGTATAATGAAATAAAGAAAATCTTAAGTTATACCTTTGTTAAAAAACCCGAGGCATTCCTGCTGGGATTGGTAGGAAAGGAGATAAAAAGGAAAGACTATAAGCTGTTCCAGTACGCAACAACGGCAGCAAGGGTCCTGTTAGCCAAAAACTGGAAATTAGAGGGTTTGCCGAAAATAGAGGAATGGAGATCAAAATTATTAGACTACGTGGAGATGGATAAGATGACAGGGAAAATCAGATATATAAAAGACCAGAGGTTTATAAAAGATTGGGAAAGTTTTACGGAATATCTGGAAAATCTAAGCGATGGTCAGATAACACTAGTGGGTTTTAAGGGAGCTCTGTAAGAAGCAAAGGGTACTGTCTAAAGGAAAACAGAGGAACCAGAATGATCAACGGCACTACAAAAGAAGAAATGCGGAACTATTGGCTTTTATTAATACGGATGATTTGTGGAAAGGTTGAAGGAAGTCACTTTGTAAACTATGTAAACATTAAGTGGAATATTATAGTTTTGTTTTGTATTTTGATCCATGCAAATCAATAAAAATTATGTTGGGAAAAAAAAGGAAAAAAAGAAGAAGAGCAAAATGTTCATCTTGCATGTTAATTTACATATAGATCTGTTAAATATGATGAAAGTTGCATGCCAGTGGCTGTCAAGATAAGATAAAGGATTAAGATCGGGATGATATTGGGAATAAATAAAAGAGAGAAAAGTAGGAACAGGAACCAAAAATATAAAATAATCATCATCATCAATCTTTGACTTTTGTCTTCTGGGTTTCTCTGTTGTTATTCTGTCTCTCACAGCTACAATAAACCTACCATTAATATTGTGGACTAGGCATTTCTTCGTCAGAGGCCAAAAAACCCAAATTTAGCGGGGGATCAAATACTTTCCCCCTTCACTCTATATGTTTACACACACACACACCTCTGGCTCTCGTTTGGAGGAGGAGTGAGAGGCGGAGGCTCTTTACTTCTAGAAAGGCGTTTCCCTGGCACCTCCTTTCCTCCCAGGAGCTCCTCCTTCCACAACCCTGCCAGGCTGGCCGCTTGCCTTTCACCCCCTTTCCAGCACTGCGTGGTTTAGTGTGGCAGCACCTGCCCTTTGGAACTCCCCGCCACTTGCAATAAAGTGCGTGCCTCTTCTAGACTCCTTTCAGGCACTTGCTAAAAGCATTATTGTTTAGGCAAGCATACCCAGATGCTCAGGAAGCTGAAGTAATTTTAATCTGTTTTAATATTTTAGCTTTTCTCTGTTTTAAAGTAGGCTTGTTAATTTTGATTTTACAGCTGTGGTGTTGTTGTTTCTTTGTTTTTTTTGTATTGGTAAACAACTTTACAGGTTTTTAAAAATAAATTTTAATAAATAAATAATCAATATAAATAAAACAACACAAGCCAAAACACAATGCATCCTGTAGATTTAAGTAACTTTCCACAGTGGCCTACTTGTTATCAGAGGCCCAGAATCCACATTCCTTTGTAAGAAAATATGAAATAAAGTCAAAACATTTTTGCAGGCAAAAGAAAAAATGTATTATTGGGGAGGTGACAGGAGGTGACCTTGTTATGCAATTACACGGGATGCAGGAAATGCATGGGCGCCCCTGTTCAGATCATTCCTGATGGGAACTGTTAACGGAAATCCGAGGGCTCTCTTGGACAAATGAAGACACCAGCCAGAGCAAGTCAGAGCAAAACAGCAGCCAGTAGGCTCGGTCTTTATTAAAGAAAAGACTGTCGCGACAGGACTCCCACCGCCCACGAAGTGAAGCAAGATGGAAGCCCCGAACAAAGGGAGACCCTGACTTTTATTAGTTACTAATCCCCTTAGCTACACCCTCAGAATTACATCATATTTACATCATGATTATATTAAAAACAGGAGGAGTCAGGGGAGGGATTGGGCAGGTAACCCAAGTATCTCAACACCCGGTCAGTGTCCCTCTCCCCCCATCCTGTGAGTCCTTTTGGAAGACAAAGGGCAAAGGCGCAGTTTCCTGCCCCTGGGGGAATCCGGTCACAGTCCCTTTTGTTTTTGCAGAAGGAGAATACACTATCATATGCAGTCCTGTGTCCTTGGCGGTTTTCTGTCTGAGCCCATCAAGCCGGGTATCAGGGTAGGGAGGTCAGCTGGGAGGAGGCGCTGAGTACGTGCTTGCTCGGTTGGGGGATTATGGCTGGCCGGTGGCAGGCCACCCCCCTTTGGTAATCCATGTAATTTGGAGTAGAATAAAAGTGGTCCGATGAAAATCCGATGTACGGCTGATTTGTGGTGAATATTTAAAGGAAAGGGACCCTGAAGTTCAAAATACTCCCAAGTTCTGGAAACAATGTTGCAACATCTTGATTAAATCAGTCACGGTCAGTTGAATTCGGAAACATTGTATTAGCAAGCTGTCAAAGTGGGGAAGAAGCAGAAGCCGGCTGCAGTACCTGCGCAGCCACCGCTAGAGGCGCTGTTCGGTAACGCTGATTGGTTGAAACGGCAGCCGGCTGACCCAGAGTTCGGGCGCCCGGTCTACCCATGATAAAGATAGGCGAAAAGGGTTCCAGTAGAGCTGTCAAAACTAGCGCGCTTCCTTATTTACGGAAGGCTTTTAGGAAATGGCCCTCTAAAGGGACATTGCCAGGGTCGGGGAGGGGAGGTGTGTGCGTGTGAGTGTGGTGCTTGTGCATTATACATTTTGGGGGGGGGTCTCCGGCCACAGGGCAGACCCCCAAGTCAGGGAGCAGAGGGTCCTCCCTCGTCCTCCCTGCCAAGCCAGGGAGGGGGCCAGTTCGCAGGAGATATGCAGCCTTTGGGATCCAGGCACTGCTTCCTTTTGGGGGGAGGGGGCTTTGGGTCAAGGAAAAGGGGGGAGGCAAAGAAACCCCCTTCAGGTTTGGAGATAAGTCACTTTTGTGAACAGAGGCTGCAGCCAGACTTCCTTGGGATCCAGATGCTGCCTTCCTTTGGGGGGAGGGGGATTTGGGTCAATAAAATAAACCCCCTTCAAATTGAGGGAAATGTCACATTTGTGAACAGAGGATGTAGACAGACGAGAACATTCCCACGTGGGGGGAGCACAGGGAGAAGAAAAGCCCGTCTGCATCTTCACAACCGGACCACTTCCTGTGTCCCAGATGCAACAACACATGTCTCTCCCCTATTCAGGCTAAACAAGTAGACAAACTAATGTGAAAGCAAATTTCAGGTGTATCCTCAGGAAATGCTAAAGCAAGGATAGAAGACTCCTTCTCCCAACCTTTTCGGACAAATGAGGAGGGATTATCAGTCATTGGGCGCCTTGTACTACTACTAACAGAGGACATGGAACACATAAAATCCTTTCTGGCTCACTGTAATAAAATTCTTACCATCCTGATAGATGCTTGTAAAACCTTCTGGAAAAATCCTAGCTGAGCGTCTGTGGGTTTTGATCCAGAAGAAATGGAAATTGGTGCTGTCTCAAAAGAGGCTAGTTCTCTCAAGCTACCCTCAGCCTTTGGGAATCTTGTCACAGGAGGAGCGAGAAGCTCCCCTCTGGAGTTCGTAAAGGGTAGATATTCCTGGTGCCCTTAATCCTGCTCTTCCGCCAGGGAAGCGGGGCTGCGTCCAAAGCACTGAATGGTGCAAGTACTCAGGGAAGGGAGCAGAGAGCGAGGGAAGCATCAGGCCCCCATTTCTAGAAAGGGGAACATCGGCCTGAAGGGGAGCAGCTGCATTTGGGCAAGCGGAGCTGGAGAAAAGCTGGGCCTGTCCTGCTGCGCTTCAGGCCCTGACAGCCTCCAAGTCCAAGTGTAAGTTGACTTCGCCCCTCCATTCACCGCGCGAGGAGGCCGTCCCGGAGTTGACGCTGCCCAGGAGGCCAGAAAGAGCAGAAGCCATGTTGGGTCAGGGCAACCGGTCCTTCTATGTTTGGAGCGGGAGGAAGGGCCGGGGGCCATCTTGAATGAAGGCAATTTTGTGCCTGTCTGTTATACACACGTACATACCTATCAATCACCTATCAACATACATAGATATATATACACCCCCCTGGTTCTCCTTTGGAGGAGGAGTGAGAGACGGAGGCGCTTTACTGACAGAATGGCACTTCCCTGGCCCCTCCTTTCCTCCCAGGCGCTCCTCCTTCCACAACACCCCTGCCAGGCTGGCCTCTGGCATGTGGCCCCCTTTCCAGCAGGCGAAGCTGCAGGGGCCACTCACTTCCTGGCCCTCCCAAAATGGAGGCGGCTTTGGACCCTGGATGAACCTGAGAGGAGCCTGGAGGGGGGCAGGGAGGGGTCTCTCGCCCCTTCCCAGACTTGTCCTCCACCCATTTATTAAGATAAGATAAAATAAGATAATCTCTTACAGCCGGAGACCAGCTTATAAAACACACTTTGGGTTACAGTCTCAGAAGAAATACAAACCATTAAAACAATGTACAACAAGAAACTCCTGCAGGGAGTTGACCCAACCACTTCTTAACACTGTTTATGAAACTTGGGGCCCTCAGGGCTCCGGCAAAATGATCTCAAACCCCAAGAGTTTAAAATGGATTGACAGGTAACTGACAGACGGAGATGATCTCTAGAGATGCCCCCCTTGGTTGGGCCTGTGATGGACAGCAGAGCCAGGCCAGTCAGCGGACTGAGTCCCTCAGAAATTTCCTGGAACCTCACTCTGATTGGCTGCCATGCCAGCGGGGGTGGAGCCAGCCCTTTTGGCGGGAAAAGGCAAGGCGCGTTTTCTGAGGGGGGAGCTTGGAGGGGAAGGTGGGGAGGAGAGGAAGAGGAGTCAGGCGGGAGATGAAGGGGAGAAGCTGGGGGGAGGGAAGGGAGACCCCCAAGAAGGAGGGCTGAGGGGACCCCCTGGGTGTGGGGGGCGGACTGAGAGGAGGGAGCGGGGGAGACCCCCAAAAAGGAGGGCTGAGGGGACCCCCTGGGTGTGGGGGGCGGACTGAGAGGGGGGAGGGAAGGGAGACCCCCAAGAAGGAGGGCTGAGGGGACCCCCTGGGTGTGGGGGGCGGACTGAGAGGAGGGAGCGGGGGAGACCCCCAAAAAGGAGGGCTGAGGGGACCCCCTGGGTGTGGGGGGCGGACTGAGAGGGGGGAGGGAAGGGAGACCCCCAAGAAGGAGGGCTGAGGGGACCCTCTGGGTGTGGGGGGCGGACTGAGGGGGGAGAGGAGGGAGACCCCCAAGAAGGAGGGCTGAGGGGACCCCCTGGGTGTGGGGGGCGGACTGAGAGGGGGAGTGGAGGGAGACCCCCAAGAAGGAGGGCTGAGGGGACCCCCTGGTTGTGGGGGGGCGGACTGAGAGGGGGGAATGGAGGGAGACCCCCAAGAAGGAGGGCTGAGGGGACCCCCTGGGTGTGGGGGACGGACTGAGAGGGGGGAATGGAGGGAGACCCCCAAGAAGGAGGGCTGAGGGGACCCCCTGGGTGTGGGGGGCGGACTGAGAGGGGGGAGTGGAGGGAGACCCCCAAGAAGGAGGGCTGAGGGGGCCCCCTGGGTGTGGGGGGCGGACTGAGGGGGGGAGCGGAGGGAGACCCCCAAGAAGGAGGGCTGAGGGGGCCCCCTGGGTGTGGGGGGCGGACTGAGGGGGGAGAGGAGGGAGACCCCCAAGAAGGAGGGCTGAGGGGGCCCCCTGGGTGTGGGGGGCAGACTGAGGGGGGGAGCGGAGGGAGACCCCCAAGAAGGAGGGCTGAGGGGGCCCCCTGGGTGTGGGGGGCGGACTGAGAGGGGGGAGTGGAGGGAGACCCCAAGAAGGAGGGCTGAGGGGACCCCCTGGGTGTGGGGGCAGACTGAGGGGGGGAGCGGAGGGAGACCCCCAAGAAGGAGGGCTGAGGGGACCCCCTGGGTGTGGGGGCGGACTGAGAGGGGGGAGTGGAGGGAGACCCCCAAGAAGGGAGGGCTGAGGGGGCCCCCTGGGTGTGGGGGGCGGACTGAGGGGGGGCGGAGGGAGACCCCCAAGAAGGAGGGCTGAGGGGGCCCCCTGGTGTGGGGGGCGGACTGAGGGGGGAGAGGAGGGAGACCCCCCAAGAAGGAGGGCTGAGGGGGCCCCCTGGGTGTGGGGGGGCGGACTGAGAGGGGGAATGGAGGGGAGACCCCCAAGAAGGAGGGCTGAGGGGGACCCCTGGGTGTGGGGGGGCGGACTTGAGGGGGGGATGGAGGGAGACCCCCAAGAAGGAGGGCTGAGGGGCCCCTGGGTATGGGGGGCGGACTGAGAGGGGGGAGTGGAGGGAGACCCCCAAGAAGGAGGGCTGAGGGGACCCCCTGGGTATGGGGGGCGGACTGAGAGGGGGGAGTGGAGGGAGACCCCCAAGAAGGAGGGCTGAGGGGACCCCCTGGGTGTGGGGGGCGACTGAGAGGGGGGAGTGGAGGGAGACCCCAAGAAGGAGGGCTGAGGGGGCCCCCTGGGTATGGGGGCGGACTGAGAGGGGGGAGTGGAGGGAGACCCCCAAGAAGGAGGGCTGAGGGGACCCCCTGGTGTGGGGGGCAGACTGAGGGGGGGAGTGGAGGGAGACCCCCAAGAAGGAGGGCTGAGGGACCCCCTGGGTGTGGGGGGCAGACTGAGGGGGGGAGCGGAGGGAGACCCCCAAGAAGGAGGGCTGAGGGGACCCCCTGGGTGTGGGGGGCAGACTGAGGGGGGGAGCGGAGGGAGACCCCCAAGAAGGAGGGCTGAGGGGACCCCCTGGGTGTGGGGGGCAGACTGAGAGGGGGGAGTGGAGGGAGACCCCCAAGAAGGAGGGCTGAGGGGACCCCCTGGGTGTGGGGGGCAGACTGAGGGGGGGAGCGGAGGGAGACCCCCAAGAAGGAGGGCTGAGGGGACCCCCTGGGTGTGGGGGGCAGACTGAGAGGGGGAGTGGAGGGAGACCCCCAAGAAGGAGGGCTGAGGGGACCCCCTGGGTGTGGGGGGGCAGACTGAGGGGGGGAGCGGAGGGAGACCCCCAAGAAGGAGGGCTGAGGGGGCCCCCTGGGTGTGGGGGGCGGACTGAGAGGGGGGAGCGGAGGGAGACCCCCAAGAAGGAGGGCTGAGGGGCCCCCTGGGTGTGGGGGGCGGACTGAGAGGGGGGAGTGGAGGGAGACCCCCAAGAAGGAGGGCTGAGGGGACCCCCTGGGTGTGGGGGGCAGACTGAGGGGGGGAGCGGAGGGAGACCCCCAAGAAGGAGGGCTGAGGGGGCCCCCTGGGTGTGGGGGGGCGGACTGAGAGGGGGGAGCGGAGGGAGACCCCCAAGAAGGAGGGCTGAGGGGGCCCCCTGGGTGTGGGGGGCGGACTGAGAGGGGGGAGCGGAGGGAGACCCCCAAGAAGGAGGGCTGAGGGGGCCCCCTGGGTGTGGGGGGCGGACTGAGAGGGGGGAAAGGGCCCCCCAAGTCTGCCTCCGCCAGAGCCTGGAAGAAGCCCAGCTGGGCCTGCCAGCCTCCACGTCCCAGGGGAAGGAGGCGTCTCCCCGATTCAGTGGGGCTGCCCCAGGAAGATGGGGAGCTGGAGGGAAGACTTGGAAGCGTCTCCCTTGGGGGGATCTGGGACTCCTCTTCCTCCCTGGCGCCTGCTCTCGAGGAGGCTGCTTGGCGCCGAGTCTGGCTCCCAGGGGGGCTCCGGGGGGCAGAGCGAGGGCTGGGCTGGGGGGGCTGGGAATGGCAAGGGTTAAGAGGAGCAGAGCTGGAGTCCTAGAGAGGACAGGGAAGGGATGGCGGAGTGGAGATCCCCCCTCCCTTCCTGCTTTCTTCTCTCCCCTTTGCAAATGCTTCCTTGGTGCCCCTCCTGGACTCGGGTGAGTCTCCTCTCTCTTGCCCCTGAGGGTGCCATGGGGAGAAGGGGGTCCCAGGGGCTGCAGGGAGGATGAATGGGGGTCCCTGCTCAGATCATGCACAGTGGGGGGAGACCCCCAAGTCAGGAGCAGAGGGTCCTCCTTTGTCCTCTCTGCCAAGCCAGGGGGGGGGGAAGATCGCAGGAAATAAGCAGCTCTGTCCTTCCTATGGATCCAGATGCTGCCTTCCTTTTGGGGAGGGGGCTTTGGGTCAAGGAAATAAACCCCCTTCAGAGGGAGGGAAAAGTCACCTTTGTGAACAGAGGCTGCAGCCAGAGGGGAACATTCCCACGTGGGGGGAGCACAGGGAGGAGAAAAGCCCGTCTGCATCTGCATCTCCAGACCACTTCCTGTGTCCCAGATGCAACAACACATGACTCTCCCCCATCATTTAAATACACAACAAAATCGTTCCATTAAGATACTGAAATAAGCATGAAGGAAAAGAATAGTATTAAAACAATGCAGCTATTAAGAGGCAGAAAAGAACAGAGCAATGTGTAGAAAAATATCATCTTTCTTCTCCCTTTTTCCCTTAGGGTCCAGTGTGCTTTGAAGACGTAGCTGTTCCTTTCACAGAGGAGGACTGGGCTTTGCTGGATCCTGACCAGAGAGCTCTGCAGAAGGAAGTCAAGGAGGAGAATCCTGGGATCGTGGCCTCTCTGGTAAGGCTCCCTGCTGGATCATAAGATCAGTTTGAAATTCCATACAGATCTCTGAAGGACAAACCTCTCTATTTTGAGGGAGCCCAATAGCGCCACCTACAGCATCTGAGATGTTAACACACCCACAACTCTCCATAGGAGATGCATCTCCTGTTCTGTCTGGGAATATTCTTCCACCAGTCCTGCCTTTTCAAACCAGGATGAGGCTGCTCTGAGCTGCCCAGGCCTTCTTCCATGTAGGCTTCAGAGATCTCAGGGACGGGGAGGTACATCCTGTCAAATTTTCTGTTTCTTTCTGTCTGTTTTTGGTTGAGCAAAGAAATGACTGAGCTTGGAGATGGAGCGGATTCCATGACTGAGCCAAATTAAATCCATCCCTGGAACGAGCCAGGCTTTTCGAATCTCCGGGTCCCATAAATACGTTAGCTAATACCAGCCAAAAAAGGCAGTAACTCCCTTCCCTTCTTCCTCTTTCACAAGCAGTCATTTGCATTCTTCAGTCATTTCAGCCTCAATTTCTTCCTCAGGCTATTATTATTATTATACATATTATTATTATGTAATACAATATTATTATATTATTATTATTATTATTATTATTATTATTATTAAAGATACCAGGAAACTTGATGAGGAATTAAGGGGAAAGACATTGTTGACCCGGAGAAGTTACAAAATGCATGTTCTCTCCCCAAGTGCCACAGACCCTTCTCCAAAGAGAGCTTCTCTGAAGAAAGCACAAGCAAAAATTACTCCATTTTACGTGAATAAGGAAAATGAGGAGGTGGCTAAGAAACAGCAGGAGCCAGATCCTATTACTGACCTTA